CATACTTCTGAGACTGGAGCTACTGATCCGCAGGACTCAGGATTTGCCAACACATAAGTTCTTCCCATGGCAGGACTTCTCCCTCCTATTCTGGCTCAGATCAAACTCTCCCTTGACTGTTAGTGGCCTGCTAGTTCTTGTTCTTGGCTGCTGATTTGGTCATTCAGATAAGTGCAGTGAAGGAGCCTTCTAGGGGGATTTCACCAGAAAGACTTATCTGCCAACAAGACCACAGTTTGACTAAGTCCTTATAAGCTGTCATTCCTCTCCTAGCCTGATTCTTTGAATGACACTTATGTGTGTGTGTGTTTCTAGCATTAAAAAAAAAAGCAACTATTCCTTATTGCCTGGTGAGGTAAAGGATTTAGAGCAGAACAAAATAATCAGTATAGATGAGGATGTAGCTCAGTGGCATTGCGCCTGTGTAGCAAGTACAAGGTCCTGAGTTTGATCCCTAGTACCAAAAAATAAATAAGTAAATAAAATAATCAGTATACATTTGCTTGGTAAAATCTGTTAACTTCCAATTTCTTGTACCCTCAGTCTTGAGGTATTTCAGGCAAAAACAGAAATTTGCTCCAGCAGACACATAACATTCTGTAATATGTTTATATGCCCCAACTCCAGCCAGTGATAAGCTTACCCCTTGCCTTTAGGATTGTTTTTGGTTACTAGTAATAAACCATTCCACTGAGGGTACTATAATCAAATTGGGGTTTAGTTTTTTCACATAACAGGAAACCAGAGGTAGGGAGCTGGTATAGCAGCTTCATAATGTCCTCAAAGACCCCAGGATTTTTTTACTTTATACCCAGGGTTCATTCTCATTTTTGTCACCTCATAATCCCATGGAGTTTAAATCCCATGAAGGGGCCAGGGATTTAGCTCAGTGGTGCCACCACCTGCCTTTCAAGCACAAAGTCCCAAGGTAAATCCCCAGTACAAAAAAAAAAAAAAACAACCCAAAGTCTGCCTTCTTTTAAGACTTCCCTGGAAGGCCCACCCAGAAATTTTGCCTATACCCTTCTGTCACATGATCTCCTTCAGTTTACAAGAGAAGTTAGGAAATGTTTTCTGAATGCACTGCTGCTTTGAAAAATTGGCAAAGGAGGAGAGAGTAGATGTTGAGGGTACATCGTCTTTCTATACCTTGTCTCCTTTAATCCTCATAATGACCCTCGGAAGCAAGGGCTGTTATTCCATTTAACAGATGAAGAACCAGAATAGAGAGGTCACTTGCCCAGGGTCACTCATTTCATAGGTGATAGCATTAGTTCTTGAATCTAGGTCTCTCTGAGTCTAAACTCTGTGTCCTCTGGGTTTATCATTTTCACAAAGTGATACAAAGGGACAGAGGTCATTGAGTATGAGAAATTCCCCGTGTTTTGGACCATTGTTGATTGCAGGTGCTCATGTTAATAGCAATGACCTGCACAGAAATAGCAGCTCATCTGGGAAAGGCATGTGTCACCTTAGCTAAACATCTGTGTTCTGCGTGGCCAAACCCTCTAAATGACAGTCATTGGCAACAGAGAGGTGCTTCATTCTTTCCCATCACTGTGCTAAATCAAGCATTGCAGATTTCCTTGTGACAAGTCTCCTGATATGAGAAGCCCTGTGTTAAATTGTTTGGAATGCAATGAGACGGGGAAGGGAAGAAAGCAAAAACCCTTTTTTGCCCTAAATCCTGTAAGTTAGTAAATTAAATGGGTAAAGTTAGAAAGTAGGAAACATTGTCTTCACCTTTCTTACCTGCAGCTACTGGATGAATATTTTGGTCACGAATAAAGAGGCATTTATAACCTCAGAGTCTTAGTGGTTAGAAAATTTCCGGGTGGCAAGCACACTACCATTTTTTTAGCCACCCTAAAGGTTTGTTTTGTGATACATGCTGGATTTATCTGAATAAAAGAATTTATCATCCCTATCAAATCGATTTCTAAGAAATACTGTCATGTATAGGATTATGTATCATCATATGTGGACTAAGATTTGTCATTGTGAGATTAGCTGCAAGGTTAGAGGAGACTAGCAAAGTCCATTATTTAGTGGTTAGTTGTTTATGAGAACAGTGTTAAATGTGATCACTGAATAAATCAGGCATTATGGTCATTTGGCTTTGAAGGTCTCTACTTTCTTCTACCCTGAGTTTCCTGTTCCAGGGAATACATAGGTGCTCAGTAAACCCATAGTGATTGATTAGAAAAGAAACAAAAGTCCACATGACTCTTGCTTGGACTGTGACATTGTATCCCCAGTACTTGGGTCCTGGAGCTGAAGAAGCTGAAAAAGCCGTTTTGGTTTTGGTTCTGATGTCATACATGTAGGTGGCATATTTGTTTCATTCTGTAGCTCTTATGCCAAAGTGGTGTTTATCTTTAGGGTGTGAATAATAAGAAGATACAGTTACTTGTATTTCACAATTGGAGTAACCCGTTGGAAATATCAGAGCAAATGAAAGCAGAGCAGAGGCCAGCACATAAAATTCTGAGATTTAGTCAGGTGTGACCCAGAGGGCAGCAGACCTTTCATCACCTGGGCAGCAGCCTCAGCCCATCCTCTGAGGGTGGTCTCCTGAATTTGAGAAGTAGTAAAGAAGAGAAGGCGATTTAGGCAACTAGATGGCTGCTGGTAGGGTTACACTGGTGAGGATTAAAGGAAAGAAGTAAAGACGCAGTTAAAGCCTATTGTGTACCCTGTGAAACAGTTATCCCTTTGTAGGCTTACAGTAAAAATTGTTTTTTCTGTAAGTATAAGGGCCCTGACACATTTCAAAGTGTCATTATAAAATGTTGTAATAGTCTATCCAGTGTAAGTAGTTGAAATGAAACACTAGCTTACATGAGAAAGGGAGTTTTTGGTTAAGACCACACAACTCAAGGATGTATTTGGTTTAGGTATGGCTGCTTTTGGGACCTCAGGTCAAGTCCCTAAGGCTTTATTGTCCTACAGTGTCTTCTACATGGTTTTAGCAGCTCAAGAGCTACTCCAATCAAAGCCCCAGGACTGACTCTGAGTGGTCTGGATCGGGCTGTGTCCATCCCTAAACTAGTCACTGAGACTCTGGAACCTCCATGGGATGAGGAGTATTAGCAGCATCCAAAGCACTGTACTGAGAGTGGGGTAGGATGAACCCCAAATGAAAACTGATATGCTATTGTCAGAGGGGAGTGGATAAAGTGTGGGTTGGGAGGGAAAATGTCCCCTGGTGGTAAATGAAAGGTGATCCAGTGAAGCATCTTTTTTCATCCATAAAACTTGGGATTCGCATGGAAAAAGCATTAGTACTTTAGCAGTTCAACAGTGAGAAGTATGATTGCTTTTCTCAGTTCTCCATGCCTAATTTAAGGCCAACAGTTTGACCTACACATGTAAGCAGCAGCCCTTCTGTTGGGAATTGTATTTTCACTCAGTATTGATACTGTATCTCCCAGACTGGGTTTATAGTTTGCTAAGTCTGTGCTGATTATTGGCAGTTGAGGGTCTGAGGATGTTGCAAGGGCCTGACCACTGAATTGTAAATACAGCAGCATTCCTGTTATATATTCTCAGATAAAAATGGAGACCCTGCTGCCTTGGTCATTTCAGGAGTTGTGCACCTTTTTTTTTTTTTTCCATTAAGTTTATTGTCACTTTTTAGGCATACAGTATAGTTACATTTGTCTTTGGAAACTTACACCTTTACAGGATGTATCTTGGTTCTTATTTTTTCCCATTCCCCTTCCCTCCCCTCTCCCCCTGCACCCTTCCCTTCACTATTTACAAAGACTTGTTTCCATTTTTTCCTTTTCTCATATTTTTTTCTTCTTTCCTTTCCCCTGCCCTTCTAGGAGTGGTGCATCTTAAAGGCTAGAACCTTTTTTCTTTTAAACCAAGGAGTATGGCTAGAGTGGCTGCTTCATCCAAAAGTCCCTAGTAATTCTTTTGGTCTATCTGGGCTGGGCTGGAATATGTTCCTGTGACTCCACTGTTGTGTCTCTGGTGCTGAGTAATGGCAATGCAGATGTAACTAGGGCCTGTCCCAAGGAAATGAGGAGAGAAGCAGCTTACAGAAGGGGGCAGACCTTGAAGAAGAATCCACCCCTATCCTAGAGCTTCTTTTCCAGTCTTGGTTCACTCCAGACCCTTCTTGTTTCCAGGTTTACTTAGATATAATCCATGAATGCACATGGAGAAGCAGAGGACAGACATATAAAGGCCACAGTGCTCAGGCTCTAGAAGCCCAGGCACCATACTATTTCAACTGTCTCTTCTGTGTCTCCATTTCCTTCATTCTCAAATTTGATTGCTGGTATAGAGTTGTTAGGTCAGTGTATTGGGTTCCTATTTGAGCTGACCCCTAGTAAGATATATCATTGGTCACAGGGAGAAGTGCCTGTTCTTTAGTTACCATCACTAGAGAGTGTTAATTAAGCTGCCAGTTGTACTTTGGGCTGTACTAGAAGCCAGTGTGAGAGAACTGGCTTTAGAAGCCTTCTGTCCAAGCTGGACTGCACCAAACAGACAGAGGGACAAGTAGCAGAAAGGAGAGGTAGGATTGGGAACACAGGTAATAGATTTTATGAGGCTGTCACAGGTGTCATTTGTTTTTCATGCAATAGAACTTAAGAGTACCTTTTCCATACCAGTCATTGTGCAGAAGTTCTGTGTATACAGTGATTGGCCAGATGAGCCTGTGACCTGCAGGAACCAGTAGTCAGTTTGGGAGCTACATGAGTAAACACACAGTTATGGTTCCAGTATAATTAATATGGCAATATAGTCAGCATAAGGTCTTATTCTAGACTGAGGGTGTATGGCTGGAGTGGCTCCTTCAAGGAGGTAACATTTAAGTCAGTTCTCCAAAAGAGTAGTAGAAAGTAGGCAAGCAGGATAAAGGACTGGTCAGGAAAGGTGCTCCAGACAGAGAGAATATCCTGTGCACAGGTGAGTGCATGTGAAAAGTGTTCACTGGGGAGAGTGGCTGTGGAGTGGGCTTAATTGTATTTCTCTTGTTACAGGGATTTGGAGAAAGTGGAACAGCAGGCAGTGCCTCAGGCCAACCACACAGAGTCCTGTCGAGAGTGTGGCCATGTGGGACCTGGACACTCAAGGGAATGTCCTCTTCACAGCCATGATGACTCTTTTGGCTTTGAGAGGCGGGAGCAGGAAGAAGAGCGATACCATTCCCAGAGGGACCCACTGGAAGGCAAACGGGACAGGAGCAAGACCAGGTCCCCATACTCTCCCACTGAGGAGGATGCCTTGTTTGTAGATTTACCCAGTGGCCCAAGAGGCCAGGAGGCACAGCCCCAGCGTGCAGAGAAGAATGGCATGTTGCCCACCTCCTACGGCCCCGGAGAGCAGAATGGTACTGGAGGATACCCACGGGCCTTTCCTGCCAGGCCCACCGCAGAGAAGCACAGCCAGAGGAAGAGCAGCCTGGCTCAGGCAGAGCACTGGGCAAAGGCCCCGAAGGCGGATGGCAGGAGGTCAGTGTGCACTTAGGATCCTGCTGATAATGCAGTAACAGTAGCTGTCATTTCCCAGCACTTTCTGTGTAAATGGAGGCCTTAAATGCTTCACCTCCATTATCTATGTAAATCTTTGGAACAGCCCTGAAGGAGGGGTGATATCCCTAATTTATAGACAGAAAAGGGGCTTGGAGAAAGAACCTGCCCAGGGCACACAGATCAATGGCAAAGCAGGAGTTCAAATCTAATTCTGTGAGCCACCAAAGCCCACATATTATACTGGAGACGTCTCTGCTCCCTTGAAAGGCTTCCTTGAGACTGAGCGTGGGTCTAGGGGCTGAACTTCACTTATGCTGCTGCTTCTTTACAGCTGAGAACTCTGTAGAAACAAGTAAACATAGGTCCAGGTTTGAATTTCAGGCACATCGAGAAGTGCTCAGGCGCTGTTGACATTAGGCTTTTTCAGATGCCTTCCTTGAAGAAATTACTTTAATTATTTAGAAGGGGTGCATCTCTTGCTATTTGCAAAGCACTATCTGTGTTTTATTACAGTTTTAGATTAATTAGAACAGGTTTATAAACATGAAGAATTCAGGGTCATGCGGCCGCCCTGTTGTCCCCTGATGCCACCATGCTTTGTCTTCATTGTGAAGATATGGTGACTTGCTCACCATCCACAGTCTTCTGAAACAAACCACCAACTGTAGAGGAGATAGCAAAGCCCCTGGGAATTCAGAAAGCCTCTGGGGCTGGTATAGCCATGGTGGATGAACAAGAGCTCACACCAGCTGTGGCAGGCCTAAAACGGGTAATGGATTCCCTGGCAGTATTTGCCCAGGGTGGAATGCTTTGGGCCGTGGGTCTTAATCTGCTGTACAACTTGATCATTGGAGGCCCTGCCCCAGAGATTCTGATTTAATTGGTCTGAGGTGAGGTCAGAGCATTATATGTCCTAAGAGCTCCTTGGGTAATCCCACCAGTTTGGAAACTGTTGCTTAGTTATACATTGGACTCACCAAGACAGTCTTAGATACTCAGTCTTATGCCCAAAAATCTTCAATTGGTGTGAGTTGCAGGATTTTTAAAAGTACATGCTCCCTAACTTTTCCTCCCCCAGTGAATCTAATGTGTGGCTAGAGTTGAGAATCCCTAACTCTGTAAGCAATAGCAGACAGACCCTGGGAATCCCCAGTCCAAAGCCTAGACAAAAACAAAATCTCCTTAAAGGAGATGGAGAAGGAAAACTGAGTGTTCTTTGGGAGAGAATTTGTGTCAGAAGGAGTGCTATCAGCAGTGCAAGGTGCTGCGAATGGAGACTTCTCCCTGTGTTTGGTACCTTTAAAGGTGGGAACCACTAAAGAAAACTGCAGCCTCAGACCCTCTGGCCTTTTACTTTGGATCCTCAGACTCTCTGGCCTTTTGTCCCCACCAGAGATCTTTTCTTCCACTCAGCTTCTTGTGGATACGGAGGGGCAGACCTGTACTGCCATCCTTAATAGGGCTAGAATTTCAAAGTGAGGTCAGGAGACAGAGTCATAGAAAGAGAAGAAGCCAGTGAGATGGCATAGCCAGTGACAGAAAGGACTTTCAGAACAGTACTAACTGATACACATAAGTTGTTGGCTGTGAAGTGTCTCTACATAACCATTTGTGGCAACCCCACACCTCTGATTCTGCTGTATTGGGAGTTGGGAGAGTGCATCAGGGAACTGAAGGATAAGAAGTCCAGAAGGACATGAGAAGTGGCTGAGGAGGGCCCTGGCTTTCCCCTAGGATGTGAAGTAGGAGGAGCCACTCTTAAGTGAGATACAGAGGGACATCAGGTCTGTAGGGAAAACAGTTCATTGAATTGGGAGATCATTGGCACACAGCCAGAAGAACATCAGTCTAGTGAGGGAGGCAAATCTTAGTGGGCTAAAAAGTGAATGAAAATGAAGAAATGAAGGCAGAGCCATAAAAAAAAGTGCTGTTTATCGCAAAGCAGAGTGCTTGGTTTCTGATCTATTACTTGTTTCTTAAAAGTTCTGCATCTTGTTTCCAGATTTTTTTCCTTAAAGATACATTTGTAATTTCTGATGGTAAGTGATAAATAGATCTGGCTGTTTAATAAAGGAACCTCTCCAATTATCCATTTGAAAGTGTAGAAAGTAGATTTCTATTTTATGTATAATTAAGACTGCTAATCTCATCATTAGACTGAGCACATAAAGACATTGAAAGGAATTATTTGAACTGCAATAGGATCCTGTGTTCTCAGCTTTAGATCACACAGAGAATTATTTCTAACTATTTTTTCAGTACTTGGAGATAAATAGAGTTCATATCATTTAACTCTTTGAGAATATGGTCCTCAGGAGTCAGACTGACATACCCTTAGATTCTTATCACAGTCTAAAAGCTTGTTTTGAAATTCTAGCCTTCCTTTTTTGCCCCTAGTGTTCCAAGTAAAGCATAATTGTAAAAATAATAAGGTAGGAGTGGGGCTGGGCCAGTGTTAATTGAGCACTATTATAGAAGCAGTAGAAAGTGAACCCCAGCATGATAGAAATGACATTTAGGGTGAGTGATTTCTGCTGCATAAATAATTGGTTGCAAAAAATGATTTTACAGTCTGACATGACCATATTTGTAGTGTCTATACTAGAATATCCTGTTAAAGCCCTTTGGAACCCCTTTTTGGGTAAGGCTGGAGTTGGGGCCAGCAAATGGATCTGCTGTAGGGCAGAACTGCTCTGGAGCTTCTGCCTGTTCCTGCCTGTTCCTGCCAGCTCCTCCTCAGGGTGTTCACCTCATCTTTCTGATACCTCCCTTCTGCACCTCTGCCAGAGCTCGTAGTCCTCATACCTTAGTGACTGACAGTGCATAAGTGGAAGGTGCAGGCTAGAGGATGAGCTCAGGATGTCTAGGGGACTGCTTGATGGGGAATTCTGTCCAGCATCCACCATGTAGGGAGGCACCCACAGTGGCCTGTGGAGCCAGACTGAAGGGGTGGAGCGTGGGTCTGACTGGGAGGTGCTTTGCATTCTTTGCATTTTGCTTCATGCAGAATGAACAATGGTTAGTAAAGTCCTGCATTTCCCAGGGGAAGCTCTGGCCTGGCTTCTGCTTCTGCTGCCACCTCTGAGGGAGGGTTCAGGTACAGATGCACCCCCACCCCCACCCCCACCCGGACACATTGCAGTTGAACTTTGGGAAATTGAAAGTAAGCTCTGCCACCTAGTGACAAGCAGACCCACTTGGCAAACAGGACAGATCTGGGCTAAAGAGATTAAAATCACCTCTGGCAACTGCAAAGTAGCATGGGTTGGGGGTGGGGCACTGACATTTTGAATGACACTTATTTCTAATCCTCCCTTAATCCTGTTAAGTGATTACTTCCCCATTTTATAGGAAAGAAATTGAGACTTAGGGTAGAAATGACACTTGACCTGAGATTGGACAGCTAGAAGTGATTATAAATGCACTGAGTTTAAGACAGCATCGTTACAACTTCAGAGAGCATCAGAATCACTTGAAGGAGTTTTAAAACAGTTGCCTGAGCCCTGCCCCGAATTTCTGATTCCAGGGTCTGTGATGGGGCTGATAATCTGCATTTTCAAAACATATTTTATTTTAATTAAAAATTAATATTTATATATACTTATAAGTAAATGTGGAATTTTGACATATGTATACATGGTAGAATAGTTAAGTCAAGCTAAACAATATTTATCACTTTGCCTACTTATTTTTGTGGGAAGAATCTATGTTTGAGCAATTTTGAAACATATACTCTATTGTTAACTGTAATCACTATTCTGCACAATGGAGCTCTAAAATTATTCCTTCTGTTTAACCGAAACTTTGTACCCTTTGACCCTTCCTATCCTCCAGCCTCTGGTAACTGTAGTTGTATTCTTTGCTTCTATGAGCTCTACTTTTCGTGGTTTCACATATAAGTGAGGTCTACAGTATCTGTCTTTCTGTACCTGACTCATTTCACTAACTTGCATTTTTAAGGCAGTGGTGATACTGCTGGTTCATGGAACACACTTTGAGTGGTCTTGGCATAGAACAACATCTGGTATATGGTGAGTGCTAAATAAAAATTAGTTAGATAAATCTGATACAAATAGAGTCAGCATTTGGACTCCGGCCTGACCCACTCCACAACCTGTTCTCTTTGTATCATACTGTCTCTCAGGTTAGATTTTTTAAGGCTTATTAATAAAAACCCCCATAATTTGTCCCTTGCTGAATATGTCTTACATCTCAGAAAATAGGAAAGCTAGCTGGAGGTGGTTTTGACAGCCCTGTGAAGCTTTTAGTGTGAGTATTGAAGGGCCGGCTATGTGTGAAGACTTTCCCAGACTGTGAACACAATACCAGAGTGTGAAACACGGTTCTTGTCTTTCAGGAATTTTCAGCTTGGCTGGGGAAGAGATGTCTTGCAAGTATGAAAAGGTCGCATCAGGACAGGACCTTGGGAAAATGACAGTATGATTACTAGCTAAACAGAGCAAGAACAGTGAGGGAACGGAACCTGAGGGAGAGGCATGGACACTGTCCTGGAAGAAGTAATATTTGGTTAAATAAAGCGAGGGGAGCCCATACTGGAAAGCAGAGGAAAAACAGTGTTCTGAGAACAGGGAGGGAAAGACTGCGCACAGGTGGAGGACCTTCTGTATATCCACATGGAGGAGGCCCTTTCCCTTACTGGTGTCATTTACTCCTCACAATAGCTGCCAGAATAGCTCCTCAGAATGGCACACGCCTGTAATCCCAGCACTCAGGAAGCTGAGGCAGGAAGATTGCCTGAGTTTGAGGCTACATAATGGACTACATAGTGAATTCAAGGCCAGCCTGAGCTACGAAGTAAGACCCTGCAAACAAACAAACACAAATATATGAGTTGGGTAATACTGCCTCACATCACAGATGGGGAAAGTGAGACTCAGAGCAATCAGTAAGCCACATAGGGTCACATAGCTAGTGAATGGTAGAGCTGAGACTGAAACCCAGGGTAGACTACTGCCTACCTTTGCTTTTTCAGTGGGCCGTGGAGAGGCTTGGCTGACCTAGGTGAGGCTCACTCTCAGGCACCAGCCAGTGTGGGTACACCTGTGAGGGGTGCCTCCTTTAGAGGTGGGCCCTGGGTACCTGGCATGCTCCAACCTAGTCCCAGCCTGGTAGGAAGAGCAGGGAGAAACTACTGGACTGCAAGGTGCTTTGAGGCCTTGTTCTAGAGAGCCTTGTTTTGCCAGGGCAAGGAGTTTAGGCTTTACTTCACAGATGGCAGAGAGGTTTCAGAATATGGAAGTGACTGGATTAGAGCAGATGGTGGTGTATGTGGTAGAAATGAGTAGGAGCATCTTGGAATTGTCTGAGGGAGATAATTAACCAGTATCCACATTAGAGCTGTAGAAAAGTGAAGGGCCCAATACTAACCATTTCCTTTAAAAATCTCTAGAACTTGATGCCAGGATCCCAGGCAAAGGGAAAATCTCAGAAACTAAGAGGAATTTGAGGCCTTTCCTAGACATATACATACTGTCACTGCTGGCAAGAGGGAGAGAAGGAGAACACAGAAGCAGTTCAGTTCCATTGCACTGGAACTGAGAATTATGATACCCCCACATTGGCCTGGTAGGGAGTTGATAGAGAAAGCAGGTTCCAAAAGGTACAAGATCCCAATGATGAATGTAACTGTACTGTATTCTTAAAAAGTGCCAATAAACTCAATTTTTAAAAAAGAGAAAGCTGGTTCCAGAGTCTTCTGCAAAGAGAAGAGAGGGGAACCCTGAGTTTATTTTAGGCTCTGAAAGGACTCCCCATGTGCTGGACCTTGTAGGCTTGCTTAGCTGTGTTTCTTTTCTTCCCTCTCTCCTCAGCCTTCCCTCAGAGCAGACACTTCCTCGCCAGGGTCCTAGCCAGCCCCTGTCCTTCCCAGAAAACTACCAGACCCTTCCCAAGAGCATCCGGCACCCCTCAGGGGGCTCCTCACCCCCTCCACGGAACCTGCCCAGTGACTACAAGTATGCACAGGACCGTGCTAGCCACCTGAAGATGTCGAGTGAGGAGCGCCGGGCACACCGGGATGGCACCGTGTGGCAGCTGTATGAGTGGCAGCAGCGCCAGCAGTTCCGGCATGGCAGCCCCACAGCACCCATCTGTGCCGGCTCCCCGGAGTTTGCAGACCAGGGCAGGAGCAGGAGCATGTTGGAGGTGCCCCGCTCCATCTCTGTGCCTCCATCACCCTCAGACATCCCTCCCCCAGGGCCCCCAAGGGTCTTCCCACACAGGCGACCAAACACACCAGCAGAGCGTGTCACTGTAAAGCCACCAGACCAGAGAAGAAGTGTGGACATCTCACTGGGGGGCTCTCCCAGGAAGGCACGGGGCCACGCCATCAAGGTAAGGCGCGGGGACTTTGGCCTCTGTTGGGCCTAGCCTCAAGGTCCCCAGACCCTCGCTGGGTTTAAGCACAGATTGAGGCATTGGGACTAAATGATAACAAACACTATAAATGCCAGTGTCATTCTTGGGGTTTACTTTAATTCTGAGCACAACCCTTGAGGTAGGTGCTGTGATTAGGTCCATTTCATCGAGGCCTTGGGAGACAGTCACTTGTATAGGGTTGGGTCGTACAACTAGATGTCTGTTTCCCGGCAGCTTGGAAGGCAGCACAAGATGTCAGTGTCCAGTCAGTTCTGTTATTTATAATAACTCGCCTCAGGTTTGACTCTCCAAAGGGCTTCCACAGTGTACTCTGTTGTCTCCAGCAAGGAAGGTAGAGCACCCATCTCACAGGGCACCTCAGGCTTGGGTGGGAACTAGCAGAAAGAAAGTGATACTTGGGAGTGAGTAGCAGAGGCCTCCTGCCCAGCCGTCAGTGTGACTTCTCTTCTCCCCACTTTTAGAACTCCTCACACGTGGACCGACGCTCCATGCCCTCCATGGGTTACATGACCCACACTGTCAGTGCTCCCAGTTTACATGGAAAATCGGTAAGCAGCCCCCATCCAGGTGAATATGATGCAACCTCCAGTCCTGTCTCTATGGGTCTCCTCCTTCAGACTAGTCACATGGGGTCTGCAGCTGCTCCTGCATAGATTGGCTAAAGAACTTGGGAAGTGAAGGGGAATGTTGGGCTTGCCTTCTCCTTTGAATAGGATTTTGAACCCACCGCCTCTCTCCTATTAGCTCCTCTCCTTTCTTTCTCACTCTTTGATAAGTTAAGTCTACGTTTAAAGCTTAAGTAAGGTGAGGTGGAACTGTTCATTGCAGCTTTCCTGAAAAATCGACTTTCTGCAATGCTTTTATTTATGCCAATGAGAGAATTAATGCAATCATTGCATGGTGGTATCACACCACTGCTCTCCCAGCACTGGGGCGAAGAGTGTAATTAAAGTGGTGTCCCTGTAGTGGCTAATTTCCTCCAATGTGTCTATACACCTGCAGCTGGAGGAGCTCTCACTGCTTCTCACCCGGTTGCGACGGCACCAGGCCAAGTTGGCCAGTGTGCGGAATTTTGCCGTGGGCCAGTTATTACAGCACCATCTGACCTTTCCCACCTGCCAGGTCAGCGCCCGTGGGCTGTCCCGGGGCCGGGGAGTGATGTGCTGGCCCGTGTTCCCTTGTGCTGCTCTGGTCTGTCTTTGCTGTCTGGCTTGCCTTCACCCCCTGCCTGTTTGCTTTTTTATGCTGCTGCCAGACACTGTGCGGCAGTCGTGGAGCTCAGCCCTGTGGTGCTGGGCAGGGCTGCATGGGATGCAAGGGCCCTGAACTGTAGCTCCTTTGGTTGTATGTAGTGACTGCCAGGCTGCTGTGTGGTCACATCCAAAAGGCTCTGCCAGCTGTCAGCCTTGGGCACTGCTTGGGTTACTGAAAGACACAGGTGGTCAGCCTGGAGGGGTGAATGCAGGGAGTCCTTTCGTTTCTGACAGTGTCTGCTGCCTGCAGAGCTCTCGTGTTTCTTCTCCTGTTGAATCTCACAGTACAGGGAGAGATTAGGTAGAATTTTCCCAGCTTTCTTGCTAGAAGCATGAAGGCTAGAGCCACAACCCAGGTACTTTCTAGCACAGTGCTCCGAACAGTTTCAAGACCTTGAACTCTGCAGCAAGGTTCAGTCACACAAGGCTGGTAGGCAGGGAACAGTTGGATGATGAAGGTGATGGGACTGTCCTGCTTTCTTCTTTTCCTGTCCTGTTTTAGTGAAGAATTCAGGAAAGGTATTTATAAAAATGAATATAAGTAGGGCCCAGTGGCACAGGCTGTAATCCCAGCAGTTCAGGAGGCTGAAGATAGAAGATCATAAATTCAAGGTGCCTCAAAATAAAAACTAGGAAGGACTGGGGATGTAGCTCAGTGCAAAGACCTGTATTTAATCCCCAGTTCCACTACTACCTCCCCCATAAAGAATGTAAGAAGACATGTCCCCTGTAATTTGGGTATATTTGAGTAATTTTAGAAAACATTCTGCAGTTCTATCTTTCCTAATTCTGTGGAAGGTATGTGAGCACTGGGCTGACTGGGGAAGTAAGGATTGATGGACAGTGTAGGAACAGAAATAAGATCTTGCAAGGCACAAAGTATCCTTGAAAAATGGTCTTTCAGGTCTTCCCATCCTTAAAAATCCCTGCATGAACTTCTCACATGGCTTATATGTGATCAGCAGTGCTGTACAGCAGGACCACCTTCCCCTGGCTGTGGCTTGCCCAGCTGGGAGACTTTGTTAGTCTGCAGAGAATGTGGACCCTGGATCATTCTTAAGCTCTCATAGTCCTCTGCTTCTCTGTTAGCTTCTGTGACCTCCTACATAGGAAAGCATGCATTCTAGGGAATTAGTCCTTTCCTTATTTTCACTGCCTACACTAGTTACTGTACAGAATTGAACAGAATGTCAGAGTTGCCCAACAGACAGGTCTGCCCTGAAACTATCTTCTGACATGGCCACATTAGCTCCATGCTGAACAAAAAGTGCAAAACATCTAGCATCTGCTGGTCCAAAGTCACACTGGGACCTCCTGGGTCACCCAAGTCATCTCTGCCTCTTCCAGGCACCTCTCTGTGATAATCAGTTCGTGCATGTGAATTGGCCCAGTTTAAAGTTTTGATGACAAGAATTGAGCCATGGTGAGAGACGGGACCCTAGTTTAGGTGTGATATGTGCTCTTGAAAGTAGACCCCTCCTCTTTCTGCCTCAAGAGCTCAGCATCATCCTCAGCCATACTGCTGGGGTAGAAGCCTCACCAGACTGCTGATTGGGGGACAAGCTGACTTTCCTCACAGTGACCCATAATTTCTGCCATGCCAGAAGAGTGCACTGAGCTGCAGCAAGACATTTGTGCTTTCTCCATGGTCCCAGATGTGTTGTTCTGCTGTGGTCACTTGTCCCCAAAGCTGCTCACTCTAAATGATTCACTTTTGAGGCCCTGAATGATGGAAGCCCAAGGTGTTTATCTGGTTTTCATTTTTCTCTTGCTGCTTCCTTTGAAGGCTGATGACACCTATCTTCAGCTGAAGAAAGACTTGGAATATCTAGATCTAAAGGTGAGTGGCATCAGGGTCCCTGCCTAACCTTTCTCAGAGTGAAACTGTGGAACTGACCTTAAAGCCAAAGGCTACACAGTCTTATCAAGTCTGGATCCCAAATGAAGACAGCTCTCTGAATTAGAAATTTCACTCCTCACAGCTTCAAACTCTGGCTCTTTGCAGTTTCTTGTGAATTCTGTGAGGTCTCTGGCTTACAGAACAAGGGTATGAGGTCTTGATCTCTTCCTTCCTATGATTAGAACTGAAGGTCCCTATAAAAATGAACATTTACTTCTTCACAGTCTCTGATGAAGACAGGAGAGTATGTGTGTGTTTCATAAGGTACATAGGATATGTGTTTTCCATCATGGGTGCCTTGGTGGCTTCTTTGGTTTGCTTGTGGGGGAGCAGGTTCCACATAGAATTACATGACTCTGAGGTTGTCAGGTAGCCTCCCTTCTGCGTTTAGAGACAAACACTGGGCCCCTGTGGGTGGCCAAACTCCAGCTCTGACTCAGCCTTCACAGCACAGAGGGCCCAAGAAGCCTCCTGTGGAAGGAAAAGGCATTCAGCCTGGAAGAGAGAGGGCTGCTGTTGTCCTTCCCACAGCTCTCTGAAAGCATCTGCTGTGGGCAGCGGTCTTATGCCAGCGCCTCTGCCATGAAATAAGCTGAAGGAATTTGACCTTTTCATCCGAGGGTGGGCGCGGGGCCTGTAGGACACCCAAGCACCTGCCATGAGGGCATGCCCTGCAGTTCCAATGTTCTAGACGAGATATTTTTTAACGCAGGTTCTTCATCCAGCTTTACAGAGCTGGTGTGAACATTAAACCCTAAGGCAGTGGATAGGAGGAGGGGCCTTTAAGTAAGTATAAGCAGGCCTTTGATTGGAAATCATCCATTCATTTACGTATCTGCTGTATGCCCAGCTCTGCAGAAGATGTGGGCAGATGCAAGAGAAAAACAGAGGCTTTCTGGTCTCATGAAACATTCAGATGTCCAGGCCATAGAAAGAATATTTCCCAAGTAACAGATTTATGTGCAGTGATGGTACAAAGATCTCTTTGGCTCAGTTCTCAGCTGATGTCATGAGAATCACTGTGGGCTACCAGGAAGACTTTTGGGAGCAGGCAGCATGCGTGGAGCTTTGAAGAGCCAAGGGATTGGATTGTTAAGATTAAGGAGGAAGGAGATCCAGAGGATGGTGGTATGGATAGGGCCACAGAAGGGAGATAGAAGCAGATCCTGCAGCCTCCTCACTCTTCCCCGGGCCTTAGGAAGAAAGATACAGAGCACAAAGGGGAAACTGAGGCATAGGGTGGCAGAACAGAACTAAGAGTCTCTGTGTCCTTTCTCCAACAGAGGGTATCATGTGTGCCAGTCCTGCATTTTACTTCTGTTAAATTATTTAGCCCTTGCAGTTCCCCAGTAAGGGAAGCGATGGGATCATCTTTAATTGACTGAGGCTCCGAGAAGTAATTGAATTTCCCAAGGCCACACAAATGGTTATGAGGACTGAGGGGCGGTATTTGGGTGTAGCTCTAACACTAAAGCTCATGCTATTAATCACCTTCCCGCATGGCCTCTGTCACAACGGTGGACCCAGAGACATCGAGCTGCTTGGGAGCTGAGCTCCAGTTATTAAACCAAGAAATGTGTTTGGTGGAATAGAGGCAGGTTACCTCCTTGACGTTGGGGTTATGGTTAAGGTTACTGTCAAGACATGTGTGACTAGAACATTTTCTAGTCATTAGACATTGTCATTATGTGTCATAAAAACAGTTATGTTGATACCAGAAACCTCCTGGTTTGGTAGCTGCTACTCCAGTTGCTAAGCTTTTCTCAGAGAACTTGACTCTAAACAAATGGCACCTGTGGCTGGGAGGGACTTGGCTCAGCAGTAGCACGTATGGGAAAAGGTGCTGGGTCTTGTGCTGTGCTACTGAACTGATGTAGCTGCCAAAAAAGGTTGGCACTTCCTCAGCTTCCCAGAGGGGAAGGGGCCTGCTTGGCCCTGCATGGACCCAGCTGGAATAAAGGATTCCCAGATGTGTGTTTCATTTCTAGATGCAGATAAAGGAGTTGGTGAATCAGGAGAAGGGTGAGGGCCTACAGAACTGAGGCTAGGTTTGGTAGGTAGGATGCTTTTGTTTGTAGGCATTCAAAACCCAAATCAGAAAGGGCGTACACAGCCCACATCATCATTATTCTGCCTCAGTCTCTGCTGTAGAACCAGGGCTGCTTCTCCCTTCACACTCAGGTCTCCTCTACACCCTTGCCCCCAATGTCCTAGCAAGTTCCCTAATGGGAGAGCTTACTGGCTTGAAAGGAGGTAGCAGCTGGCATAGCTACAAGCAGAGCTAGGGAAGGAGTTAGAGACAACTCATATGTAGAGACAGAAGCTGTAGAGCTCTGGTGTGTCACTGTGTCTGTGGCCATATGGAGGAATTAAGATAAGTGGATGATGGGCTGGGAATTAGTTCAATGGTACCACTGCCTGCCTCACAAGCACAAGGACCCGAGTTCAATCTTCTGTACAAAAAAAAAAGATAAGTGGATGGCTGCTATAAATACACAGGTTTTAGTGTAATATAGAAGACTTTTGTAAAAAGGCTTCCTCAGGTGGTAGAAAACTCTGTCACCTGGGTACAACTGAGGCTCCATGAGACTGAGTAGGATGAGTGGATGGATTAGAAAAACTCAAAGGTCCACTGGTCTTTAGATTCTATGTTATGCTGGACAGTATGTCCCTGAGATGAGAGCCTCTGTGGACACAATTAAATGGGCCCTGAGGTCCGCCCTGCATATGGAATAGAGACAAACACATCCTCTCCGGGACTAGCTTCTTGTGAGCGGCCCTTCCTAGGACCCTGATGGCAAGGTAAGGAGATAAGCCTCTCCAAAGAAGGAATTTCCCTGCCTGGAATCTGACCAGCTCACCCCCTCCCTCACTCTGCCATGTTGACTTAGGACCCTCCATCTTCTTATCCCAAAGGCTGAGAACCCAGGACCATCCCTCTTTCCATCAGCTGACACTCTGCCTCCACAACCAGTTAGTGGTATTTGTTTCCCCACACACTGCGGAGCTGCTACCTCCTCAAGGACCATCTTCCTTCTGTGGTGCCAGGTGGCCAAGGCAATCTCTTAGAAGACTCTGTACTAGCGTGCCTATGAGGAGCATTTGCTTCTTGGGCATTTTACTTGGTGGTACCAGGATGAAAAGGACTCCATATTGATCAAGATCTATTCCTGCCTAAAAATTGATGTTCATTTATGTCATTTAATTCTTCAGCAACCTTGAGTGTAGAGATTGTCCTTGACTTCCTAAACAGGAACCCTTATCTCAGAGAAATTAAGTAATTGCTGCAGTCACATGGCAGGGACTGAATTTGCCCTTTCTTTTTTATATACCATATGCTTTGCCACCCCAAAGTTGTCCTTTTTTTTTTCCTGGTGTCAGGAATTGAACTCAGGACCTTGCACTTGCCAGGCAGGTGCAACACCGCTGAGATACTTTTCAGCCCCAGGGTTGTCTTGAATTGTGTTTCTGGTATAGAAATTCTATTCTATAGAACCCTGTACTGCAGCTGGCTCCAGAGAGTGGCTCTGTAGCAGTCTGGTCTTAAACTCTTGGGTTTAAATGACCCTCATGCCTTAGCTTTCTAAGTAGTTGAGTCTACAAGTGCTGGCCATGCATCTGGCTTTGAATTATTTTTTATGCAGCTGTGAAACACAGCTGGGAAGGTGGGGTGAAGGTGGTGTCTACAGCTATGCAGCTGGTACCTCTGTAGATAGGGATGGGTTGTAGTTAACACGAAGGATTACTCAGTTTTTATTGTTGTTATTTTTGTTTGTTCTTTTGTATTGTTTTTTGAGACAGTCTCACTATGTAGTTGAGACTGACCTGGAACTCACTATGTAGCCCAGGCTGGTCTCGAACTAACAGTGATCCTCCTGCCTCAGCCTCCCGAGTGCTGAGATTACAGGCGTGCGCCACCACACCTGCCTGGTTGCTTGATTTTTAAAATGCAGATCTGAGATAGGTACAGTACAAGTCTAGTCCCAGCCACTTGGGAGGCTGATGTAGGACAAGCACTTGATCCTGGGAGTTTGAGGCCAGCCTGGGCAACAAAGTACAGATTGGAAGGGCTCTATTGAGTTAGAACCCCTGGTACAGGTGGGTGGGGTGGAGGATGGGCAGGAGGACTCCATAGGTTTTATACTGTGTAGCTAGAGTTGAAGAAAGATTGGTTCAAAGCGGTGGCTTTCAACGCATAATCTCTGGGCCAGAAGTATCAGCAATACCCTGGGATTTGGGTGTTACCCCAGATCTGCCCAATGAGAATGTCTAGGGTGGGGCCCCACATATCTGTTAATTAGCAACTCACCAGGTGACGGATGCACACAGTAAAGCTTGAGAACCACTGACTTAGAGCAGCAGTTCTCAGTCCTCACTACCCATTAGAATCACCCAGGAGGCTGTTTTAAAAATCATGGGACCAATTACACAGGATCTTTGGGGTGCAACTCAGGATTGGTATTTTTAAAAGCTCCTCAGATAATTCCAGTCTTCAGCCAGAGTTGATATCCACTGTGCTAGAGGGTGAGGACAATACATCCTAAAAGAAGCTGTAAGATCTAAGACGGTTGGTCAGACATGAGCTTTTAGATGCGTTTCAAGGGTGGAGGTGGAGGTGGAGGTGGAGGGACAGAAAGTGGAAATGCTGGGTGGGGGTGAGGCTGATGCCTCCTGGCACCACTCTGAACAAAGCTTTGATATCGCACAGAGTGTGATGAGGGAGGCAAGGAAGAAATGGGCAGTGAAATGGCCCTTGCATAGCTATAAGCCTGTACATGATTCTGTCACTTAGAGCTGAATGTCCCCCAGTTTACAGAGGAGGGAACCTGAGTCCAGAAAGTTCCCATAGTGGGACCTCATAGAGTCACTGAGGTTCACTATAATTGATGCTGTGCACCTCCTCCTTAAGGTTCCCCCTTGCTACTTCCCGAAATTCTGGCTGCTTCAAGTGTCGTTTAATGTCTCACCTGTTATGTTTTGTTGTATTTGCCTTTTTGTTTGGAACAGATTAAAAATAATGAACCTTTGATCAACGTGCTTTACAAAGTGCTGAAGAAATCAGCACGGGGCTGTCGGCCCAGGAGAAGCGTAAGATGATCTGATCCGTGTCTCTGAACGGGGCCATTCCATTGCTTCTGGCTCAGTGCCGACTCCATCACTTGCTTAACCAGTTGCTCTCCTGATCGCCCCAGGCTTCCCGCAAGTCATTTTGGTTTATTTTCTTTAAACTGTAGCTCTCTTCAGCATTGTGGCTGATGCACCAGTCTGGGCCGCTCATCTATGGTGTTCTGTGATTCCCATCTTTTGTGCTGCCAAAGGGTGGGGGGCTTGCCTGGCTTGCCACCAGCTTGTGTCATGTTTCCATTGTCACTTGTCTGCCTCCATGGTGAGGGCACACCTAGATACAGTTGAGCATGAGTTTCTTGGGAGGAAGCAACAGTTACTGGTCAGCTAGAAGGAGGCCAGGTCAGATTACCCTGTGACCCTGGACTCTTCTTTGGGGCAGAATGTTCATAATAGTCCAGACCTAGACTAGAACAAAACAGTCACCTCATGCCCTCTTAGACTGACACAAAAGTAGAGGAACTGCAATGTGGCTGGCTCTTGTAGCATTCTAAGGGAAGATGCAGGTTGGGGAACAGCTGTTGTATCTAGCCATCCTGAGCCCCAAGAACGTGTGTTGGGATGTGGTAGTTGGCAAGTAAAATGCCCAGGGGGCCTTTGATTCTCTTCGGATGAAGAGATTCCTTCAAGTGGATAAATGCCCATAGACTTTCACTTTTTCCTGGTGACAGATACTAGGGGGCAGGAGGGGACTCATTGTTGATGTCTTAAATGGATTTAGACATTGCTATCACAGAGCACAAGGTTAAAAGGAAACTTAGCTAATATGCTACTTGTGGATGTAACATTTCTTACTAGCCTTTGTTCTCTGGAATAGAGCTAAATTCAGAAGCTTTAAGGCCTCAGAGCTATGTAAACAACCATCAGAAAGCTCTGTGGCCTTTATGCCATAGGAATCAGAGCTGACCTTCCCAATTTTGATACATTCATGAACTCACTAAGCAAACATTTTCTGATTATCTTCAATATGCTAGGCCCTGGCTGGACCTTGAGGATAAAGAGAAATACATCCTGATCTCCACAGTCACCCTTCACTGGGTTACTGTTTAGAGGGTAGAGACAGATGAGCAAACAGGCTTGTAATCTGCTTCGCTAAGTACCACAGCAGGGTCAGACCCAGAGTGTGGAAGGGTTACCCCGAAGAGCACTGAACCCAGTCTGAGGGGAGAGGGGGAGAGAAGTACTTCACCTCTGCTGAGCTCTTGAACCCTTTGGATTCCTAATTCACAGCACCTTATAAGCTGCACACTAACAGAGGACAAGAGAGATCCATTTCCTTGAAAAGGAAGTGTTAATATTCTGGGTTTTTTGGGGGGTAGATATATATTCAGCATTCTAGGGAGGCAGTGAAGGGCAAACATTTAAAAAGCTTTCTATTAGAAAGTTTAATTTAGAAGATTCAGCTTTCTCAAAATGCCCTTTTTGTGTAGGGATATCTCCTTTCTTTCTGGTGGTGCTAGATAAATGAAGCATTGCTCAATTAGATTCTCTGCCTTGTTATTTAAGCATCAAAAAAAATCCTCCATAAAAAGCTTCAATGAAATAAAGGGAAAAATTTTGCCTGGGGGAAAATCCTTGAAGCATATTTCAATTTGAAAGTGTTTTCTACCAAGGAAATGAGCCAAGGATTGGCCCACTGAGGGACAGACAAACCCATTGTCCTCCACTTGTGACCTACAGGGAAGACCTCACCACTTTCACCTGCTTGTTCTCCTGGGTTCCCTTGAGTTTAAGACCCAAATCCTGCTGGAAATCCCAGCTGTTTGTGGGTCATCAGAATTAATTCCATGACCTCCCTCTGCCTCACCTCTCCTCCATCTCAGAACTGTACTGTTGTGGATCGTTGTAGGAGTCTGTGTGTTTTACAACTGTGTGTATACATGTATGTACACATATCTGCCAGTTTGAGGAGCCAAATTTGCCTGGAGTTCTGCACTTTGCGGGACCTTCCACTAACTTCCATGTTCCCTTTTACCTACCTGCAGCTGAGGAAGCATTTGCTGAGTGCCTGCCATTGTGCCAGGCCTTACATTTCAAGGCTGTCATGATAAATAGGACAGTGGTCCCTACTCTTTACTGAATGGCCAAAGAGATCCTGGGAATGGTTGGTTTGGTTCTGCAGGCCAGAATCATTCCAGTGCCTAAAGCATGCAGCGGCCATTCTCACTTGACCTTGACCTTTTAATTTGCTGCTGCTGATTCTTAGGGAGGAAGAGTATAGGGTATTTGGGCACATGGGTAGCTTGAGCTCTGAGAGGTGTGGCTGCCAACATATTTTAGCTCCTGATCACACAGACTTATTGGAACATCTAGATAAAGTGAGGATAAAGTAAAGGCCATCTCTCCCTAGCACATATACTGCCTGTCTCTGCTGTGGATAGTCCTACCCTCCTTTCCTCCTAGCCGTATTTGCAAATGAAAGTCAGGGTGATATTCTCTCCTCTACATGAGGTGCCTTAGACTTGACTCTTCCTGGCCTCATCTTGACCTTAGGGGTGCATCTGTGTAAAAGCCACCCCTACACAGCTTTTGCCAAGGTGACTTTGGAAAAATGAAAGCAAGGCCTAACGAGCTGGGTTCAGCTTCTTAGGAGCCAGTGAGAGATGGGCAGCTTGCTGCCAAATGTAGGCTGACTGAAGGGTGGGAAATGTGAAATCTATTTGATCCATATGTTTGGGTGATTTCTGTGGTTCTTTGTGGTTTCCTTTAGGATAAGGTAGGTTGTAGCTTTAAAAAGTACAATCTACCTTTAGTTATTCAGGAATCAACAAAAACCCTAGCTAGGAATTAATAAACTTTCCTTGGTCAGGTCCTCTTCCCTAATAGTATGGAGTGAGGAAGGCTGGTCTTGTGCATGGGGAACAGGGCTGCTCAGAGACTTCCTTAAACTGAGGCTTGAGAATGCTCAGGGGATTTGCTTGTTTTTCTAGCCTGCCCACCCCCGGGTAGGTGGTAAGAGACTTTTATAACTTCTGTTTGCCCCTAGGTTCAGTAGCAAACTTAGCAGGGACAGATTTTCCAGGATTCGTACTGATTCTGCACTCATTTTGAGCAAATACATGCCTTAAAAATTAATGGTCTTCTAACTTGAACATTTTCATTTTCTTAAATTTGAGAATTTATGTGTTACTCGGATCACAAAAGATTTCAGTTTCTTATAAAGCAGTTTTTGCTTGAGTTTTTGTCCGTTTCATACCTTAAGAACCCCACGCCCATCCAGCATAGGGCTGACTTTCCTTCCTGAGTTCCGATTCCAATCCCCATGTTTAAGTCTTCTTTAAATTGTTCACCTCCCAGATGACAGGCCGGGACCTTCTCAAGGATCGAAGCCTGAAGCCTGTGAAGATCGCTGAGAGTGACATTGACGTGAGTGAGCAGAGGGACAGACTGACCCCTCAGCTGTCTTCTGACCCAGACCCAGCGTGGCAGCCGCTGGCAGGGTTTGAATGCTTCTGTGGCCAGAGGCTCTCTGGTCATGCTCCCGAGACCGTGCCCTGTTCTCATCCTCCTGGGTCTTCCCAAAACTCTTCTTGCTTATAGGTCAAATTGAGCATCTTTTGTGAACAAGACAGGATCCTACAGGACCTGGAAGATAAGATTCGAGCCCTCAAGGAGAACAAAGTAGGCATCAGTTTTGTGTCATCTTGGGATGGGTGGAGGGACAATTTGTGCCCTGTCTTTCCTGAGACATTGCCTGGGTTCTCTTGTTAGTGTTAAACAATAGGTGCTGGTATCCACAGCAGTGCCTTTTGTTCATGGTTTTTCTTGGAAGTTTCTGAGCATGAGGGATAAGTAAAGGATCACTTGTAGAGATGCCCTGGCCTACTTGTTCCAACTCCTCCCCTGCTTTTCCCATTCTGCTGTGGCCCTGGGTGGGAAGCTCTACCTGCTTGGCACCTGAGCCCCTAGGAAGGGACTGCCTTGGCAGTGTCTGTAGTCCTAATAGAGCAGAAGCTCCTAAAGCTCCTTTCCACCCAAGCTGGGCTGTGGAGGCAGTAAGTCTTGATGGGAGGGCAGGAATGGACCTGGGGCCAGCAGTATAAGCTTTCTTAGACTCTTAAAGTGAGAGTTTTTCTTTGTGTATTTTATTTTAATGCAGAAGGTTTATAGTATACCTTTTTTTCCCCCAAAGAGCTTACAAAGTTTACCATCAACTCTTTGATTTTTCCTACAGTTTATCCCATGAGAAGTTAGATGGCTTTATGCCTGGTTGCTAGGTGAGGAAACTGAGGCACATCACTGTTAGGAGCCTTACCCTGTGGACAGGGTCAACACTGGCATCAGGGGCCCTTCCTCTCAGCCCTCAACTCAGCTCTGGTCCCTTCTGTCGGGGCTAGATCCAGCAGCTTTCTTTCACTCCAGACATGGTGTGGGAAGGCCTGTGGGTACTATGCCCTATCCTTTTGCTCTTTGGCCCCTCCCTGGTGCAGGATCAGCTAGAATCCGTGCTGGAGGTGTTACACAGACAGATGGAGCAGTACCGAGACCAGCCACAGCACCTGGAGAAGATTTCCTACCAGCAGAGGTTGCTGCAGGAGGACCTGGTCCACATCCGAGCCGAGCTCTCCAGAGAGTCCACCGTGCGTGCGGGCTGTGAAGGGCAGATGCCTCCCCACAGGACAGGCTGGCCATGGGCTGCCATTCTCATCTCCCCAGGGATAGTTGAGTTGGTAGCCAGGAGCAAATGTCTTAAAGTAGCAGAACTTCTCCAGGCTGCCTCCTGACAGCAGTTTGTACAGGGATGACGTGTGTGTCTACCTGTGCCTCAGGCTGCTCTCCATCAGTGACTCTTGGGCACTCATTGGACCAGATTTCTCTCTCAGAGTGGCCCAAAGGCTCTATTCTGATCTATGTGCAGTTAATTTTAAGAAGTTAGGATTTCCACTTTTTCATAGGTCGGTCTGATGTGCTATGAGCTGTTTTGCTAGAGCAGGGAAGTGAAGCATCTCTGGGTGGAAGAGGGAATAGATATTACACTTCTTCCTGCTCCTGCCTCTCTCCCACCAGGACTGCCTGAGGCTCACTGGGCCACCTTCCCTCTTTCTCCCTCTGGCTGGGTCTACAGAAGTCTCAAGACTACCTGGGGGATGGCAGTAGGGGTGAGATGGGGGATAACTAGGGACTAGCAGCTTTTCTTTGGCCAACAGGAGATGGAAAATACCTGGAATGAGTACCTGAAGTTGGAGAGTGATGTGGAGCAGCTGAAGCAGACCCTGCAGGAGCAACACAGACGAGCCTTTTTTTTCCAGGTGAACAATGGCTATTCACCCCTCTGAGCTCTAGGTGCGGGGCTGTGAGCACTGTCTCAGTGCTTCTCTTCCCCTGTGAAGTGGCCACCCTGAGCTCTCTCTTGGGTCTCTCTAGGCAGTAGTGAAAAGCCTCACACAGTGCCTCCCACTTTCTGCTCTCAGAGATAAGTTCTTGGTGTATTGGCAAAGAGTGTCCTCTTGCTCATCTGGGGAAGAAGACCCAGAAGAGAGAGGTGTCAGGATGATGTATGATTCCTTCTTGGGTTCCTAGCTCCACATTTAGATAGACAGCAGTGGAAGCCCCTCTTCCTTTCTGCCCTAATTCCTGGAGGTAGATGCTGTCATCCTCTGTCTAGAAGAGAGTGTGAATTCAGCCCTTTGAGGCTCCAGGCACTCAGTTGCATTTCTGGAGGCCAGGCTAAAGGATACCCATCTCTGGGGCCCCTGCCCCCCTTGGGGAAGGCTTCCTTAGAGCGCTGCTTCCTTAATTTAAAACCCAGGCCACCAAGTGCAGAGCAACCTGTATCCCCCACAGGTGAGCCAGTGAAAGGCCCTAGGGAGTTTTCTTCAGATTAGGTTCCCCCATTGTGGTGCTAACTAAGCTTCCATCCCCTCTTCATAATTTAAAAAATGGAAAATAGCCTGATTTCCAACCCAGCTTCAGGGTTCCTTTCTAGGCTCTGATAGAAATTCAGTTTGTTTGAATTCAGGGAGCATTCGTGGAGACTGCTTGGGTAGGAGGCACTATGCTGCACCAGTTTTGCTGCTAGGCTTGCTGGTTGATGACTGGTTGTAGCCCAGGCTCCTCATGCATGTGTCTTAATGAATATGTAGACTATCCAGACATAAGCTTCACCTTAGAAAAGTGAGAGAAATTCTGGAGGGAGTTTAGGTTTATGTGTCCTGAGGCTTTTCCAAAGACTCTGCTGGCTCAGAGATGGTTCCCCAAGAGCCCAGCCCAGAACCATGTAGAAAAGACTCTTGCTTCTGGCTCAGGGCTGACCTAGAGCTTCCCCAGAACTTGTCTGTGTCCTGCTGTTATACTCTGCTCCCTCATAATTTCCCTTCATGAAAGCTAACATTTTCTTTTCTTTCTTTTTTTGGCACGGGGGATCAAACTCAGGTCCTTGTGCTTGCAAGGCATGTGCCGAAACCACTGAGCTAAATCCCTAGCACTTTTTCCTTTTTGTATCCCCAGCACATAGCATAATGGCTTAAAAATAGTAGTCAAATACTGTTGACAAAGTCTTTCCATCAATTGTTCCTAGTTACTAGTACCTAGAACTATCCTGACCTTTCATACCTGTTTTCTTGGGCTTCTGTGATTCACACTACAGTCTGGAAATATGGCTAGTGGCAGAACACTTGTCTGGCATGTAAGTTTCATCCCCAGGACTGGGGGAAAAAATAAGATCACACTAATTTTAGTACTATTGTTAATAGCTCTTCATTCTTTATTTTTCTGTGATTATGTAAATAATACATGAATACATCTGTATTAAAAGGCCAAACAGTGAACTGGGTATGGTGGCGCACACTTGTAATCTCAGTTACTTGTGAGGCTGAAGTGGAAGCATCACAAGTTAGGGACCAGCCTGGGAAACTTACTGATACCTCGTCTCAAAATAAAAGTAAAAAGGGCTGAAGGGCTGTGAGTGTAGCTCAGTGAGGGTCCCTGAGTTCAGTCCCCAGTAACACACACACACACACACACACACACACACACACACACACACGGGCTAAACAGAAGCAAAAACAAAATAACACAAAAACTCCTCTCAGCCCCATTCCATCACCTTTCCTGCATGTAGTCCATGCTGTCTCTTTTTGATGTTGTCTTCCTATCCCCTTTTGATGTGCTTCCAAACATATGTACCTTCATAGAATCATATCACTAGTTTGGAATTGGGAGTGAGTAAAAATTGAAAAAGCGAAGTCAAACACATTGTTGGACAACTCACTTTTTTGTCATAATTTTGTGTTGTGGAATGATACCCTTAAATTTTTGCTGACCCCAAAAATAGCCATTTACATTTAAATTTAAATTAACTATAGCACAGATAATAGAAGTTGTTGTTGTTGTTGTTGTAGAAGAGTTTCGTAATCTCAGAAACTTGTATTGCACAGGGCTGGTCTAAGTAAATTAGTTCTTCCTGATAGGTACCTGCTATTTCATAGTCTGAATACTCCCTACTTTGTTAAGCCATTTCTCCTCTGGTAGGCTTTCACTTGCAGTATTTCACTTTTTATGAATTATGCTAGTGTAAACAGCCGACCAACCGCTGCTCTGAATTCATTTGTAAGCATTTATCTAAGATAGACTCCTAGGATTGGAACTGAAATGAATGCACCTCTTAAAAGTGGGCAGCACCGCTGCAGGATGACTGTAGAAGTGATCTCATACTATGTATCTCAAAAACATGGAAGAAATGATTTTGAATGTTTCACCCTAAAGAAATAATAAATATTTCAGGAAATAGATGTGCTTACCCTGATTTAAACATTGCACAGTATTTATACACATACTGAAATGTCATGTTGTACCCCATAAAATATACAATTTTTGTACATTTTTGTATCAGTTAAAATTTTTCTAAGTACAAAAAATGTTGGCACATATTGCCAGATCACCTTGTAACAGGCTGCACTAGCTTACCCTTTCACTCACAGTGAATGAGAACACTTAAGTAGGTTTGTCTTTGTCCTTATCAGAATTTGGAGTTAACAGTCTTTTTTTTTTTTTTTTTTTTTT